AGTAGAGAGCCAGAGAGAAGAGAAAGAGAGACAGGGGCACGTGCTCTTTAAAATTGGCAATACATAAAATTTAAAAAGGAAAAGAGAGAGATTTAATCCAAAGAATGCATCTCTCCCGGCTGCGGCCATCCCCTCTGGCACTTAAGAGATGGCATGACAGGGGCTGGGGTTGTGGGGTCTGTGGCTCAGCGGTAGAGCGCTTGTCTAGCACGTGTGAGGCCCTGGGTTCGATCCTCAGCACCACATATAAGTAAATAAATAAAATAAAGCTGTTGTGTCCAACTACAACTGAAAAAAATAAATATTGAGAAAAAAGAGATGGAATGGCATACCCTAAGTGAATGGCATACCCTGAGTGGCGTGTACCCAAGTCCCTGCGCTGCTTCCAGACCCAGAAGCTGCAGAAGCAGCATATATAAAGGAACCCAAAAGGCCCTACCTACGAAGCACTTTGATTTTTTTCTTTACTGCTGTTCTCTCTCAAACCCTATCAGTTAAATTCAGGATTTTAAAGGTTTAGTGGTAACTCCCAGGAGACCAGGCTACTCCAGCTGGATGGGGAGAGGAGGCAGAGGCTGGCCAGGGAGGTGGGGAGGACACAGTGACCTGGCTCAGGGGTCCTTGTGCCCAGGGACATCCTCACTCAGGTGAGGCACCACGGCTTCACCCTCCCCTGCCTCCAGTGTCCCTGTCCTCCACGGGACCACGCAGGATGGCAGCTCAAGTGCAGATTTGGATGAGTCTGTTGATGCCTCTGGTTTCTCTTTGGTGACAGAACTACCCTGACCCCACCCCTAACCCTTCAAAGCAGCTGAGGTCAGGTGGGGGTCAGCAAACCAGGGCACAGAGGAAGCGTCTGCCCCAGGAGTGAGGCACATGGACTCTAGGTCTAGCAGCCTGGAGCTGCCCGTGGCTCAGCCATAGATGTCTCTGGTTCCTTGAAAGACTCCACCAGCTTTGGACACTGCTTGACCCCATCCCTGATGAAGGGGTCAGCAATAAACAAACTTCTAATTTTTTTTAAACCATTCAGGTTTTTTAAATTTATTACTCTTTTTTAGTTGTCGATAGACCTTTATTTTATTTATATTTATGCGGTGCTGAGAATCTACCCAGTGCCTCGCACATGCCAGGCACGTGTGCTACTGCTGAGCCCCAGCCCAGCCCCCCAACTTCTAATGTTTTCAGCCCCACCCTGCCGGGTCCTTAGTCAGCAATGTGTATGAATCAAAGAAGCCATGGTGGCCAAGAGCAGTGACCGGCCGCTGTTCTCAGTGGGGAACTGCCAGCAGGATACGGCCAGTCCTTCGCTATGTCTGCCTCCTCTAGGACCTTACACTCTGCCTGGGTCCCTGCTTGGCTCTGCACTAGGCGTGTTAATAGGTTTATCAGCCCTAATTACACCTACCTCGTTCTCCTTCAAGACCGAGGCAAGACTTGCAGCCCCCGTCTAAGACCCTGGAGTGGTATGTAAGAGTCCTTGTGCCGCAGTCCGGCTGCAGCAAACTAACCGGATGGTGACGAGGAACTTGTGTACATTGATACAGCAGGAGTAGGAGCCATTTATTGTAGGACAGGAGGGGTAGATATATACATTCCAACAGCTTATCTTAATTAACATAAACTAGATACAGCAGTCAACCAATAAGGAATCTCCACACTTAATGGCTCGCTGGTGTTACTTCACAAACCACTTCCTCTGGCAAAATGCCAGGCGCCATCTTGACTTGTTTACAGACCCTAACATTTCCCCCTTTTGTTTAATTTAAATAACGACCATAGTGGTTTTTACACAAACACCATAAATAATCTGCTACAAGCAGAAGGGGAGGATACAAAATGCCACAATACCAAGCCAATTTATGGCTCCATGCAAGAAGCCCTTGGAAAAATTATACCAGCAATGACACCGTTAGCAAAGATACCGAGTTACAATTTGTTGTAGATTACAGTTTGTTCTCTCAGTCCAGGTAAAGCAGTGTCTCAATAGATTAACTCACAGTCCAGGTAAATCACAGTCCAGGTAAGTTCTGCAGGCAGCTAGCTTAAATCACAGTCTAGGTAAGTTTTGCAGGCAGCTAGCTTGATCCGAAGTCTCGTCCGGTTCTCAGCAACACTGGAAATTCTTCCACCCTCATCCTCACCGGCACTGGGACGAAGGCAGGAACTCCGGCAATGATGCTAAAGAAAATCCTATAGTATTCCAGCAGGCACTAAGAAAACAACTTTCTGAACAATTTAGTGCATTATCTCAAGATTTTTTCACATTTGAAATAAGCCTTAATAGTGCTCATTACTCATTAGCTTCCAGGTGTGGGAGAACCATTGTAGTTACTGGCCTTGGAAATGATCAAACTTTAGGGACATGGGCCGTCTTCCACCTGCAGCGTCCCGGGCAGCCCCAGATGGCCCCGGGGAGAGTCCGGGGAGTGTTCCGGACTCAAACTGCCACTGGGCACAGGGAGCAAGAGCCTGCGAGACTATGCCTCCAGGTCAGGTCTAGATTTGGGCTCTCGCAGTGGCATCCCACTCCCCGGTCGGGGGGCGGGGAAGAGCTGGCTGCCGCCACTTGGAAAGTCCTCGCTGCGCCATGACCGGCTCGCGCACGTGGCAGCCACCGCGCCGATTCACATACCCTCCGGTAACAAAAAGTATTTAGTAATAGCCTTTTGCTGCAACTTTTTTCCTGATAATCCTTCTTCTTCTGAACTTTCTTTTTCTTTCTGATTAGAGTTCCTGGGCTCTTATCAACACATGCCCTAACTATTCTTGGTTCCACTGGGGTGCCTCCTTCCCTTAGTAATTTACTTAACACCCCTTGCATATTTTCGTCACAAAGACAATACAACATTTCAAGACAAAACAAGACACAAACATACTGCATCAATCTTCTCCATTTTCTCAAAATGGCCATTTTTCCTCTCGCCCTATCTAGGGACGAGCAGATTTGCTCCCGTCCTATCTAGGGACGGGCAGCTTTTTTCGTCAACTTACCCCCGAGTGTCCTGGGGCTCCCGGTACGGGCCACCATCTGCCGCAGTCCGGCTGCAGCAAAATAACCAGGGGGTGACGAGCAACTTGCGTAGATTGATTCAGCAGGAGTGGGAGCCGTTTATTGTAGGACAGGAGGGGTATATAGACATTCCACACAGCTTATCTAATTAACATAAACTAGATACAGCAGTCAGCCAATCAGGAATCTCCACACTTAATGGCTCGCTGGCGCCACCTCACAAACCACTCCCCCTGGCAAAATGCCAGGCGCCATCTTGACTTGTTTACAGACCCTAACATCTTTGTCCTGCACCTTCCAGGAACCTGGGAGGCAGGAACGTCACCCCACAGTGACACCCTCCAGCAGGAGTGACCGCCTCCTGGGAACTGAAACACCTGACAGGTAAACACCCTGACAATAAGTGAAACCCGCCCATCGAGTGACAAAGCCTTCTCCGGCAAAGACACCTCGCTGAACCAGAACTGAAATGGTGACCTCAGCGTGACCAAGGCTCTTAATTAAGCAGACCTCCAGCCCCACCCCTCTTCTCTACTTAAACCTGCAGCCCCTCAAGACGGGGCTGGGTGCGGATCCCCCGTGCCTTCCCCACACGGACAGGTTGACAAAGCTCCTTCCCTGCCTCTCACCATGACCTTTTGGGTGATCAGACCTGGTTTGTTGGGGTCCCCGGAGTCAGGCCTCCAGCCTAGAACCCCGGAATTTCTTCACATGCATTAACCAGCCCCGGGACCCTCGATCTCCTCCTCTGAGCGGCCAGCCTAGTCGAAAACACAAGGTGCCTGCTGTTGTTCCCCACGTGTGTTCACACACGCAAACACAAGACCCCCAGCTGGAGAAACAGGACACTGATCCCTCGTGCACAGATAGCCCCAGCCCGCCTCTTACCACCAATTCCCCAGCCCCAATCCCCACGGGGCGACGTGGCCTGAGTGCATGTACCTGCATGCACAGAGGGCTGAACCACATAGAGGGACCCCAAACTAGGAAACCTAGTGCTTTAGCAGGCCAGCTGGTGCATATTCTCACTGTCCCTTCCTGCTACAACTTCTCTTGACTCTTGAATGCCAACAAATCCTCTCCAGGCTCGGAGGGGCAGTCAGCTGAGTTGATTGTCCCCGAATGCAGACACAGGTCCTGGAGGACGGGCAGCTTTGCTCTGTCTGCTCCCAGCTCCCCTATTTAGGAGGCCCACACTGACCTGCAGAACCCGAAACGTTCTCGACAATTGCTATCGGCTGGCAAAAGCCTCCTCATGGAGGGGTTTGTCTCTCGCTGTCAGAAGTGGAAGGTGCACAGGCAGGAGCCTCATCCCTGCAGAAGCCGAGGAGCCGGAGCCACCCACGTGACAACACTGTGGATGGGGGAGACTACTACAGGCACCTTGGACAGGATGGAATGGCCGCCGGGAATGGACAGCACTCTCAGACCCCGGCAGCCACTTCCTTGCAGGGCAGAACTGGAGCCTGCACGGACGCCCCGTGTGGCCTCCCTCCTGGTGCACGGGTGAGCAGTTCCTGTCCCCAGTGTTGCCCATGGAGTCACGTACTCTGGCCCGCTCTCCAGGGGAGCAGGCCAGGGAGCCTGGGGGACCATGTAGACCGCTCGCCCCACAAGTCATCTCTGGTCCCAGAGCCACTCTCCACCCTTCCCTACAAAAGCATGGCCCCCAGGGTGGGCAGTGTGGGTGCTGATCCCAGCTCTGCTACCCACAGCTGCGGGCAATGGCAGCGCCTCCATCGCCAGCCTGTCTGAGCTGGCACTCTAATAGCACCGGGCACGTGCTCGCCTGGCCTCGGCTTCCGGCACCCAGAGGTGCTGCTCAGATCCACGTGGCCCTCCGCCCCCAGCCCCACCACCCACGATGGTCTCCCCCAATCCGGAAGGAGCACAGTTAGCTGTGTGGTTTGGTCAGCGGTCACAGCAAAGCCCACAGACCGGGTGGCTTCTCCAGCAGTGATCCTGGCAGCCAGAGTGCAAGAAAAGACGCCGCAGGGCTGGATCCTCTGAGGCCGCCAGGGAGACTTTGTCCCCGTCTCCCCAGCTCCTCCTGCGATCCTTGCTGATCATTGGCTACAGAGGCACCACCCACCCCAGCCTCCCTCTTCACAAGGTGTTCTCTGCCAGTGTGGGCAGGGGACAGGGGTGTCTGTCTCCAAATTTCTCTTTTTATAAGCACCCGTCATTCTGGATTATGGCTCACCCTAAGGACCTCCGCCTCGCCAATCGCCTCGGCAAGGTCTCCATTGCCCAGTAAGGTCACCTGCTGCAGCACTGGGCAGTGGGGCTCCACCCTATGGCTCAGAGGAGTCACAGTGCACCCCACGGCCACCCCTCAGGTTAGTAGGTGCAAAGGCCTTTTCCCCCCATGGGCCTGTGCGGGGACCTTTGTGTCACCACACAGCACAAATACTGGAGCCTCAGGTGTAAGGTGCCCTTGAGGGGCCAGAACAGCTTCTGGGCCTCCCGCCAAGGCAGGAGTCCCTGTGTGTGTCCACTTCTGCTCCCTGGAGGGCCTCCCTCACACAGTGCTTCAGGGCAGATGGCTCTTCCTGGCTGCAGCTGTGGGGAGAAAGTGGGGCAGAGAAGGGAGCGTGGGGAGCCAGCCGGGCACCTCCTGCCCCCACCCCCGTAGTCCCAGACTCATCACGAGGCTCAGGTGCCAGCGCCCCCCTGGGAGCCAGAGCGTCACCCCCTCGGCAGCCCTGCCTGAAGAGGGTTCCCAGGCTTGGCTCTAATTCCCCTGCCAAGCGGAAGGAACCCAGCAGGCGATGCTGTCCTTGTCACTGTCCCTGATGGCTGTGTTTTGTCTTTTGTAGTCACCCACTGAGCTGGACACCGCTGAAGGTCACCAGGCTGGGCCCAAGCATGACCTGAGAATCCAGCAGGTCCGCCAGTGGGTGGTCCCAGCCCAGACCACACAGAGACATTGGAGAGGTCCGTGCCACCAGATGCACTGTTGGTGGAACTTCATAAACGGCAGCATGAAATATTTACCCACTTACACGAGCTTAAGTAATTTAAGTTTGCTGGAAATCAACATCATGTTTTCATCTTTAATGAGCCTCTGTAAAGCAGCGGCTTCTGTCACTGGCAGGTGTTGGGGACAGGAGCTTCCACAGCCAGATGCGGCTTTAATCTCCCTCCTCAGCAGTGACGAAGGATGCAGGCAAAGCTTGGCCCCGGGCAGGGCAGGCGGTCGGGGGATCAGAGCCCCGTGTCCTTCCTGCTCCCCTGCTGTCTCTGGACACTGAAGGACACTGGGCACTCCTTAGCAGAGCTCACAGGGCCCTGGTCAGCTGAACGGTGGTCTCCAAAGATGTGCAAGTCTTAGTCACCGGGACCTGTGAATCCATCAGTTGACGCGGCACAAGGGACTTTGCAGACATAAGGACCTTGAGATGGACAGTGTGGGGGCTTATTTTATGTGTCAACTCGACTGGGCTGAGGAGGGCCCAGAGAGCGGGCGCGACCTCATTTGGGTGCATCAATGGGAGGGGAGCATTTCCATCAGTAGACAGAAGAACCCCACCCATGCAGGTGGGCCTTGTCCAGTGTGGGTGGTCACCTTCCAGCAGCAGGATCACCCAGTACAGGTGGACGTCATCCAGTCAGTTGGGGCCCCAAAGAAAACAAAAAGTGGAGGAAGGGCAGCTGTGGTCTCTACAGGGCCATTTATCTTCTGCCTTGGATGACCCGGCTGCCCATTCTCAGGCCTCCAGCCCCAGACTGGACTGCACCCTGGCTGTCCTGGCCTCTGGCTTGCAGGCAGCAGTCTGTGGGACCACTTGGCTCCTTATCCTGTGAGCCGGTCCCCGTAGTAAGTCTCCTCGTAGACAGATGCGCACGTACACACTGCTGTAGCCCGCTTTCCCACGGCTGCAATCGAAAGCCCTGACAAGAACAATTTAGAGGAGGAAAAGCTTATTTTAGAGGTCTCAGTCCAGAGAAGGCTGGCTCCATTCCTCAGGGCCTGAGATGGAGCAGCGCATCATGGCACAAGGACGTGGCAGAGGAAAGCAACCAGACCACGGCACCAGGAAGCAGAGAGAGACAGAGAGGGGGAGAGAGAGAGAGAGAGAGAGAGAGAGAGGGAGAGGGCGCTCCACTCATCAGGGACAAATAGGTGCTCCAAAGTCACGGCCCAATGACACCTCCTCCAATCGCCCCTCCCTGCCTGCAGTCACCACCCAGTTGATCCTATCAGAGGATTATTACTGCACTGGTTAGGCTAAGGCTCTCATAACCCCATCAGTTCACCTCTAAACTCTTCAGCACTGTCTCACACATGGGCTTCTGGGGGACACCTCGTATCTAAGCCATCACACACACAAACATGGCAAATTCTCTCTATAGCCACACAGCCGACCCTCCAAATCCATGGGTTGTGCATCCAGGGGTTCAACCAACCTCAGACCAAAAATATTCAGAAAATTGCATCTGCTCATAAGTAGAATATTAAAAAGTTGATCTCATGGAAAATGAGAGTAGGGAGAAGAGGGAGGCCGTGGGCGAGGCAGGTCGGCAGGTGCAATGTCGCTGAGCCTGTTACCCTCTAGGGGTGCTGGGTTCCCTGTCTGCGCTCAGCAGAGAATTCAAGAGCAGGACAGAGACAGAAGCAGGCAGCAGGCTGAGGGCAGACCCAACAGAACAGACTTCTCCAAAGAGAAGGGGCCCCGGGGCCAGGAGGCTGGTGGGCAGTTTTGGCCTCTTCTTTTTATGGTCTCTGAAATGTCCTCCTTTCCTTACCTCCTCCCTGTCCACGTGCTCCTCACCATTATTGATTGGTGCCCCCTGTGTTCTGTTTTCGAGTTTCGATTGGGTCCCCCCCTTAGGAGCAGGAATACAGAAACGTCTGTCCCCGCTTGTGTCCACAAGCGCTTTCGTCAAGGAGGAAGTTGACCTCATCAGGAGACCCTCTCCGTGCTCCTTTGTTCTGGCCCTGCCTGGACCTCCTTCCTCTCCATCTTGCCCTGCCTGCCTACGCCCTTCTACCTCTTCCTCAAGGGATGAGAAGAAAAAGTCCTGTTAGCAGCACAGCAGTGTGGATGCGATCAGCACAAGGCAGCGTGCGTATAAACCAGCTCAAGGGATGAGTGTGAACACACTCACCACGGAGAAAGGACCAGTGTTTGGTGATGGGTGTGCTAATTACTCTGTGTCGATCGCTCCTCAATGCAGACATGAATCAAAACATCACATCATGCTCCATAAATATGTACAAATATTATGTGTCAATCAAAAAATAAAAAGAAGGAAATTGCATCTGTGATGATGATATACGGACTGTTTCTCCTGCCATTGTTCCTAAACAACTATTTACATCGCATTTACATTAAATGACATATTCCAGGTGACCTAGAGATGATTTCGGGTCTTGAGGGAGGGCTGGGGGTGGAGCTCAGTGGTAGAGAACTTGCCCAACGTGTGTGAGGCCCTGGGCCCCGTCTCCAGCTCTGCAAAAACTAAACAAATCAAGTCTTGGGAGGACGGTGAAGGGCATGCACAGATACTGCAGGATTTTATATAAGGAACTTGAGCATCCAGGGAGCTTGGATGGGGGGTCCAGGAACCAATCCCAATGGAAACCAAGGGAGCACAGTGAAGGGGGAGAGAGAGAGATGACTGACACACACACATCCTACACTTCCTCTGGAAAACCCTAAGGCAGGAAGAATTATCTGGGGTGGGGTGGGGGGTGGCAGGACCCACTGTGGTCACAAAGGGTCCTCACAGGGACAGAATGTGAGAGAAGATGCTACGTGGCCACCTTTGAAAATGGAGAAAGGTCTCCCAGGGCTGCAGGCAGCCCCTAGAAGCTGGGAAGGCAGGAGGAAATGGTTCTCCCCCGGGACCTCCGGAGGGGCCAGCACTGTCCACCCTCGTTCGCTTCTGCTCACCAGCCACAGAGAGCAAACTTGTGCAGGTTTCAGCCTCTAAGTGGGTGGCCCCAGGACCGTGACCTCCCTTCAGCTTCTGCCAACCAGCTCTCAACCTGGCTGCACAGGCTCCTGCGAGGTCCAGCTTCAAACCTCCGGCCACCACATCCCGGCTCTGTGACCTTGGGCAGGAGGCTTGACCCCTCTGGGCCTGAGTCTCCTCTCTGAGGGCAACAGTGGGCCCTGGGGCTACTTGGCACTGTCAGCTCGGTGCCCTGGAGCTGCCGCTGCCCGCCTCTCAGGGCTGCCTGAGAGGGGCAGGAGTTTTGCGCGTCACGAGTCTGCCCAGCGGGAGTCCTGCAGAGAGGAAGCTCTTGCCCATTAGTGCTGCCATATGTCTAAGGAAAGATGAAACGAAGACCAAGCTGCCTCCACGGCCCAGCGAGGAACAATTAATGCTGGGATAACGGATGTGGCACTGAGCGAAGGCAGGTCGGGCTGGCAAAGTCACATTGGGCACACGTGGCTCCATGGCCCTGGAGGGGCAGAGGCAGGTGGCAATGCCTCCCACCCCCCAACCTAGCCCTCTGACAGTCCAGTTCCTGCACGGCATGCTGGGCGCTGCAGAGACCTGGCCTTGGCTGAGTGCTGGGGGGACCTCGGCCCATGCTCTGGATGGAGCAAGAGTCCAGCAGGATACCAAGCTGACCAGTGGGGCCAGCATCCTGGAGCAGGCCCAGGCAGGAAGGAGGGATGCCACTCAGGCATTAGGCTCCTCCTAGGTCCCCAGCTCCTGGTCACAAACTGCTGGGACTTAGGAGGAGACTCCAGAGGGCCCCAGCTGAGAGAGGCATCTGTCATCTGGTTGCAGAGAGGTGTACGTGAATCGCTGTGACTCGAGAAGCAGAGGACTCCCAGGGCAGGCGGGGCAGAGGGGCAGGCTCAGGGGCTTGATTCCCTGAGGGGCCAGTTGCCAAAGGGAGATGCAGGTGGCCCCACTGGCTCTGGTCTGGGTGGCTGGGGGGACAGAGCACTGGAGCCTGAGGAGGGACAGGGTGAGGGGGAAGCCCGGGGAAGCCCTGGACTTGGTTGGGGGCTGCGAACGTGGGGTCCAGGCAGAACCTCTGCGGGAGGCTCAGGCAGGTGCGGAGGGGCACTCAGTTGGAAGAGACAGGCTGTGACAGGCTGCAGACACGACCCTGCTCTGAACAAGGAGCCGGTGGGAACCCTGCCGTCCCTCCCCTGGTCCCTGGCTCCCCTCCAGCATCCGGTGGCTAGGGGAGTTACCCGTCATCCTCTGGCCCACGCTGGCAGGGCCACACAGCCACAGAGTCACTGCCGAGCAGAACACTGAGAATCTGTGGGTGCTTCCCACAGACTCTGCAGGGGGCAGGGGGCGAGGGAAGACCCCCGCAGGTGAGGAGGGCAGGCCGGGAGGAGGTGGGCGGTGGTGCAGCCAGGAGCACAGGGCACCCCTCCGGGCCGCCCCTCAAGGCGCCCGGTCAGGCCCCAGCACAGCCCTCAGGAGGGCCGACTTCAAAGGGCCTCGTGGAAGCCCTTTGGTGGCTCAGCCAGCAGCTGTCAGAGTGTCTGTAATGACTCCGAACTTTTCCTTAATCCTTCCAACTCTGCAAGTAGCTTACATAATCCATCCATCCATCACCAGGCAAGTGTGGCGTACAGTGAGCAGGACTGTCCCCAAATGACCCCGGGCCACGTGCCAGCTGAGACAGGGGCTCTTCTTTCCCCTGGTGAACGGGCTGCTTCCCACAGACTCACCCAGGCAGGAGCTGAGAGCCCCACAAGCCAGGGCCTCGACCCTGGGCAACTAACTGTCATTTCCAGACACGGCCTGGTGCCAAAAACTAATGACGAATCTCTTTTCTCCCAAGTGCACAACACAAAGCTGGGATGGGAGGAGGTGCGCACCCTCCCTAGGACAGGACAGGCCTGGCACACCCCTCCCTCAGTGCCCAACCCAGGCCTGGTCTGCCTCTCAATCTTCCCGTCCAGTCTACCAGCTGACCCACATGTCTCAGAGTCCAGGAGTGTGACCCAGACCCTGACATGTCATGGTGCCCCCAGATAGAGCCAGCTGGTATGACACCAAGGTCCTGGCCCATCCCCAGGAGTATGATCCTGAGAATGTGCAGGACAAGGGTGTCATTGAGGGGGTGGGTGCCGGAGCCTAAGAGCGTGGCCTTGAACCCACTGCTGAGCCCTTCAGGGCTCATTCCCTTATCCACCGCCGGGGAACAGCACGAGCTGACCCTTGGAGAAAGCCACCAGGAGCCAGATACCACTCTGGGCTTGGGGTGTTTCCTCATTTCTCCCTGCAAGACCTGAGGACGTGGGCATTAACATCACCCTGGTCTTGCTGACGAGGAGACGAAGCCGTGCTCACCCCGGGCTCCCAGGGAGACAGTGGCAGCAATGAGACTGGAGTCAAGACATCTGGCTGCAGCTGCTCCCTGCACGGCCTCTCAGAACAGCAGCAGCTGCTCCACGGGGCTCTGAAACCCTCAAGGGAATCAGGCAGGGTGCAGGGCGCAGCCCTGGGGCTGCACAGAGCAAGTTCTTGTTACAACAGCTCCTACCGTGGGGCAGGACACAGGAGGAGGGGCCGGGTCTCCAGGTAGGATCCCTCCAGCTAGAGGGTGGATGGGGTTCACAGGTAAGGAAAGCTAATGGCCACCCTGGGGGCCACTATCCATTACATGATGAATGGATGGGTCTGGGCTTGCCATATTGGTTTCCTGCGGCCGCTGCAATAAACTGGGTGTCTCAAAACACTACACATTTCTTCTCTCACAGTTCTGGGGGCCAAAAGTGAAAATCCAGGTGTTGGCAGGGTCAGTCCCTCTGGAGGCCCTGAGGGAGAATCTGCTCCACACGCCTCTCCAGCTCCGGGGTTTGGCAGCCCTCCTCAGCCTCCCCAGGCTTGTGATGCATCATTGCATCTTGGCCTCGTCTTCGCACCGTGCTCCTCCTGGCTGTGTGTCTCCGACTCCACAAGGAGTCTCCTTTCTTGGTGTCTGCATCCAAAGTTTCCTCTTATATGACACTGGTCATTGGGTCAGGGGCCACCAAAACACTGGTTCCAGCTTAACCCGATTATACTCACAAAGTCCCTATCTTCAAACAAGATGGAAGACATGGGTACTGAGGGTTTGGATGTGAACTTACCTTTTTAGGAACACAATTATACTCAGTGGAGCTGCTCACATCAGCAAAGAGTGGGACCGGATGTCACCTGCCTCCTGCTGAGAGAACCAGCACCACCTGCAGGCTCATCAAAAGAACCAAGCCATCTATTGAGCTGCCAGTTTCAGCTGCCCCTTGCCAGGAAGTACCAAGGACAGAGGAACACAGTGAATGGCACCATGGGGACGACGCAGTCAGCAAAGTGCAGAGTCGGGACCCCTCTAGAGCCAGCCCACCAGATAACACGTAGGAAGTGAAAGGGCAGGATGGGCAACCTGTCCATTAAATCAAAGATACATCAGGTTTAAATAATGGGTACCACCGCACAGAGTTCCGTTAATCGATGTGGGTGGTGGTTTGGGGGCTGTTTGCCTTTTGATAGCCCATTAAGCTAAACAGGCATTTGGTATGATTTTTCTGTCGTGTGTGGGTTTTGTTATCATAGAAAGGTTTCAAAAGTTAACTACTCTCATTACTATCAAAATTATCATCATTGCTGTGAGTTGAATATGTCCCAAAAATGCATGTGTTGGGAACTTAGTCTGAAAGTTCAAGTGTTGATCTCACTTGGAGCCAGGACCCTTAGGAGGTGGTTAGGGCGAGACGAGGTCATGAGGGAAGGCCCTGTGACGGGGTCAGCAGCCACGCAAGAGGAGCAGAGACTGAGCCGCACATACAGCTCCTTTCTCTAGCCACCTGATGCTCTCCTGCAGATAAGGTTCTCAGCAGATAAGGGCCTCCACTTTGGACTTCCCAGCCTTCAGAACTGTAAAAACAAATGTCTCTTCTTTACAAATTACCAGCCCGCATGGAATTGTGTCACAGCAACACAAAGAAAGAATTTAGATAATCATCTTGACCATGATCCTGATATCTTTCCACAAATATTTATGAAGAGTTCCATGATCTGGGCATGGTGGCACATGAGTGGGATCCCAGTGACTCAGGAGGCTGAGGCAGGAGAATCACAAGTTCAAGGTTAGCCTCAGCAACTGAGGCTCTAGGCAACTTAGCAAGACCCTGTCTCAAAATAAAAAAGGGCTGGGGGATGTGGCTCAGTGGCAAAACACTCCTGGTTTCAATCCCCAGTACAAAAGGAAAAAAAAAAAACACCATGGATCTAGCACTGCACTGTGCTCTATGCTGAGACTTCAGTGATAAAAAGAGACAGGATCTCTGACCCATGG